AAGAAGAACTCCTGGATCTCCGGCACTCCCTGCAAGTTTAAGCAAGTCAATGTAGAAAAGGAGGCCCCAGCATACTAAGACGGCACTCAAGTACTAGCGTTTGAAAAGAAAGGACTGACATTCTTCTCATACAGGAACCCTGGATTCACAGGAACTTAAGCCAACGCATCTCCAAAAAGCATCCAGCATTCAACTGCTTTGCCCCAATTGAAAAGTGGGACAGGAAGCCACGGGTCCTCACCTATGTGCGTAAACACCCACAAATCCATGCTCATGCAGTCCCAGGCCCCTGGGCAGAAAACCGGGACATCCACATGCTGCACATACAGGCCTGGGGTCTACAGCTTCAGACAGTCAACATATACAATGCACCCCCAGGCGCAGAGGATCCTGGACAAGGTGTGGGCTGTCTTCTCTCCTGGTCTGTCCCAGCACTCCCGTTGCTCCTTGCTGGCGACCTCAATATCAAGCACCCCGTGTGGCAACCAGGAGTGCCTCCAAGCATGTGGGCGGAACCATTCCTGCAATGGACCATGAATTTCAACTTTACTCTCACCATGGACCCAGACACTCCCACACGTGGGCATAACATGATAGACCTGGCCTGGGCCACCCCGGAATTAGTTATCAAAGGAGTGGACACACAGGTGGACAGATCCCTTTACACTTCCTCTGACCACCAGACTCTTCTCACCAAAATCAGCCTTCCACAGGGCGCAAGGCCTGACAGGCCAACCCATTTTTTCCGTCTCGACACCATGAATGAGAAGGTCTTTAACCAGACGCTGGAGGCCTATAAGCCAAAACTAGACAAACTATGTGATTTCCCAGAGTACCCCAATACAGATCAGCTGGATGCCCTGGCTAAAGGTATCACAGATGCACTAATAGCTTCCCTGGAAAGTTCCACCAAGAAGAGCACCAGGCAAGGCACAGGTCAGCCATGGTGGAATGAGGACTGCCAGAAAGCAGTGACAACACTACATCGTGCACAGCACCTAGGCTCTAGTTTTTTACGAGAAGCAAAAAGCAACGTAGCCAGGACCACCAGGAAAGCCAAGAGAGAATACTGGCGAGGCAAGATAGCAGAGGCCTCAGTGGGGAAAGATATCTTTAAGATGATCAAATGGGCCCATTCAACTGGCTCCTTTCATTCCCCCCCTCTTGTAGATGAAGAGACTGGGCGAACGCGAA